CCCCCCCCCCTGCCTCCCCCCCCTCCCCTTCCTCCTTCTCTGGACTCAGGTCCTCCCCGCTCCGGGGCAGCCACAGCCTCAACGACCTCCTGGACCGGCCAGGCAGCTCCATCTCCTCTTCGGAGTACTGGGACGGCCAGTCCCACTCCCGCACCCCGAGCCGGGTTCCGAGCCGCGCCCCCAGCCCTGCTCCCACACCCCTGCCTGGCAGCCGCAGGAGCAGCATGGGCAGCACAGGTGGGGCCAGCGACATCAAGGTGAGCCCCCAGTGTCCCCATCCAGTCATCCAGCCCGGGGACCAGAAGACCCTCCCTACGCGCTGGGTCCCGGGTGGACGGTGGGGATTGCTGGTCTGCAGGGGGCAGGCAAGGGAGGAAGATGGGACTGTGCCCTCTGTGGAGCCCCCATCTTATTCTGGGTGGGGGTGATTAGTCCTGGGAATGGCAGCCTGGCCCAGGGGAGTCTCAGATCAGAATGCTGGGGCCTCCCAGAGGCTTGGCACAGCCAGGGCCCTTGGGTCATCTTCTGCCCTCCTGGGGTGGGGCAGTGCCGGGAAGGGCAGGGCCTCGCTCGTCCCTTCCCCATCAAACCAGCCCTTCCTCCACCCGTGCCCCCACAGAGACTTATGTCCTGGGAGCAGCACCCCCCAGAGCTCTTCCCACGGTGAGTCCCTAAGGGGCCAGAAGACGAAGTGGGGGCTGGCCTATCATGAGGGTGGGCATAGGTGACCGATGGGGACAGGAGGTAGGAGGTGGACACCCTGCTGAGCTGGGGCCGCAGCCAGTTGGGGACCTGGATCCCTCTCACCCCGTTCTCCTCCCCCAACAGGGGTACAAATCCTTTTGCTACCGTGAAGCTGCGTCCCACAGTCACCAACGACCGCTCGGCACCCCTCATCCGCTGAGGGCCCCCTCTGCTGGCTGAGGCCGTGAGGCATGGCCTCTGGGACTGTCCGAGCTGGCGGGGTGGCAGCGGCAGTGGATCTGAGAAGCGGGGACCCTGACCTGGGGGGTGGCCGGCATTCCCCAGCCCACCCCTTGAGCCCATCTGGC